AGAGTGTTGGACTGGATGGGCCATTGGCCTGATCCAACACTGGCTTCTCTGATGTTCTTATGGATAAACATATGGAGCAGAGGTCCATCAGTGGCTCTTAGCCACAAGGTCTAGATAGGAGCTCTCCATCTGGGGCAAGGGATGCTTTGTCATCTTGGTGCTGGGGGGGGCAACAGTGGGAGGGCTTCTAATGTCCTGGCCCCACTGCTGGACCTCCTGAGGGCACCTGGTATTTCTGGCCACTGTGTGACACAGAGTGTTGGACTGGATGGGCCACTGGCCCGATCTAGCACTGGCTTCTCTGATGTTCTTATGACCTTCCTCAGAGGGCAGTGGGGGGTGATGATAAAATGGAGAAAGAGAGAACAATATTAGTCACTTTGGGTCCCCATTGGGGTGGGGGAGGTGGGGTATAAAAATAAAGCCGCCCCGAGCCTGTCTCTCAGGGAGGGCGAGGTATAAATCGAATGAATAAACAAACAAGCAGAGCCCTCCTAACAGGGCAATCCTGTACAGGTTTAATGAGAGGTGATCCCTTCTGCATAAGGCAGGATTCCCTCTCGAGCATGTTCCTGTCACATGTCCACACGAAAGGGGGGTGAGTCCAGCATTTCCCCTGAAGTTCTCTTCTCTTCAACCACGGAGTTCCCTTCCCATCACCCTTCCCCTTCTTCGCCTGCTTAGTAGAGCCAGGAGAAAGCCTGCAGCACAGTAATTCCCCCCCTCAGACTTGGAGAAAAGTTGCTGCGCCAGCAAGATTTCACTGTGGGGCACAGAGTTGGGTGAGGCCTCCCCCCCCCCCCCGGCTTTCCCTTCTTGCTGACCGGAAATGGTTTCTTGCCCCTTCTGGGCTGGAAGGGGCAGGGCTCTGTGTCCTCCTGGGGGTGGACGTCCTTGTGTTGCAGAGGACTGGTTCAGGAGGGGGGGGGAGAATCCCTGTTGTCTAGAGATCAGTTGTCATTTTGAGACCTCTCCAGGCCTCACCTGGAGGCTGGCAACCCTGCTTTAAGGAGACCATGAAAGAGCTGGCGGCAGCCGTGATATTTGTCCCATCTGACAGAACCCCTGATCGGTCAATTGGTTCTCCTCCACCCTACGAAAGACGAAAGACTGACAGACCCGGTCAGTGGAGTCTTATGGATCCATTGACCCATCGGGGATGCAGAGGGCGGGCGGTGCCCCCGGCCAGGCTTAAGGGGGGGGGAGCCCTTTGCTAGCTAAAGAGGACTTGTTTGCAGTGCTGAGTTACATAAGGACAAGGCAGAGACTGGTTTAGCTGGAAGGAGGAGGAGGAGGAGGAGATCGTATTTATACCCCACCCTTCACTACCCAAGGGAGTCTCAGAGCGGCTGACAAACTCCTTCCCTTCCCCTCCCCACAACAGACACCCTGTGAGGTAGGTGGGGCCGGGAGAGCTCTGACAGAAGCTGCTCTTTTTCAAGGACAGCTCTTATCAGAACTAGGGCTTGCCCAAGGTCATCCAGCAGGTGCAAGGTCATCCATCATAACATGCCAGCCCCTGGCCTGTCTAGTGAGGAGCCAAGCGGGTCTGGGGGCAGCCTGAACAGGCAGGGCATTGCCCGTTTGCCCAAGTGGACCAACCTCCACGGCTGCTAGTAAGCACAACTGGCGAGAACGTAAAGCAAAGAGCTGCCTTGAATGGAAGCAGATCCGGGTTCCCTTTCGGGCTTCCTCACTGAGCCACAGAGGCACGTGCTCCTGAGGGACCTTCCTTGCTGACTGCTGCAGCTGCGGAGGGGCTTGGACTCCGTGCAGGCAGAAAGGCGCTCTGCACGCAGGGCCGGCTCACCCACTAGGCGAACTAGGCATTTGCCTAGAGTGCTGGGCCCTGGATGGGGCGCCGAGCTGTGCCTCCCCCCCGCCAAAAGCCCACAAGCAGATCTCCAAGTGTCAGCATTTCGCTAATTGGGGAGAGGCATCCGGTGAGCATCCCCCGCCTGGAGACAGGATCCCCCCCACCTCCCTCCCAAACTGCCTTCGGAAGCGGAGCACGAGAGAAATCTCTCTTCCATCTTGGAGGGCGCTGCAGGAACATGTGGGGCGTGCTCGCTGGGTCTGACAGCTGCGGGGGGGGGGGAGGCGGTGGCAGCGTTAGCAAAAGGGTGGCTGGCTCCAGAGGTCTCCAGGCCCCACCGGGAGTTTGGCATCTGCGCCACAAGGCAGCCTCGCCTAGGGCGCAGAAACACCTCGAGCCGGGCGCGAGCCACGTTCCGGGCCCTGGACCTGCATGGGGACGGGCTGCTCAGCGAGGCAGAGTGCCGGCACACCCAACACACGTGGTTCCGCAAGCGGCACAAGGAAGCCCCCTCATGCAGCGTCAGGTGAGGGCTCCGCCAGAGCCACGTCCCTCCCCGGGGAAGCCACGGACTGCTTGACGGGGGCCTCTCTGACCCACACCACTGGACAATCTGGGGGGAGGCTCCTCCTGTTCCCCGCAGTCCCCATAGGTTTGCAGTGTGCTCAGAGCATCCCCACCGACTCTCTCAGGCGATGCCAGCTCCGGGAGACTTCCTTTCAGTTGCGCTCCCACTTCTCCAAGCAGTGCGGCTCCGGGGGCACCTTCACAAGCGTCCTCTCACCTGGAGGAGAGGCTTAGATGTTGCGGCCCACCCAGCAGCTACTAGGGCTGCCAGTGTCAAGGCGGAGACAAGTAACGAATCAATGTACGCTGCAAGAACCTTCTGTAAATTGACGTGCCCTGTTTATAACTATCATTCTATAAAGTGCATTGTGTACTATTAGGATATCCTTGTCAGGTACATATATTCAATACATTCAGTATAGCAGTAACATTCATTCATTCCATTTAACAACTACCGGTCAATTTAGGCATCAGTATTTTAAAAGTCAAGCCCCAGCGGGAGTTTCCAGAATTACAAGCCCGCTTCTACTTGCATGAAGCCTTCCAAAAAGGGGGGGGGAGAGCTTTCATTTATAGTTGTGTTCAGGGGACATTTTGAAGAAAAAGTGGTGCAGGAGCTCATTAACATAACTCATTAGCATAACTTATTTGCAGATGCCACACACACCCCGACATCACCGGAAGTGTGTCAGAAGGCAACACCCACTGCTCAGGCTCCACTGGACTG